AATAATTTTTTTAAGTGGGGTGAAGGAAAATGCCCAATGCAAAAGTTTTAACAAAGTCATTATTTATACTAATTATCCAATATGGCGACCTTTAACCCATAATTGCATAGTGTCGTAAACATCATATCCAGGTACGTAACTGTTGGGAGGTGCATGGGGGGGGGGTGTCCCCCAATGAAAAATATCAAAATATGAAAGAAAAAAAAGTTCGGGCAAATTTTGCATATATATATAGTGTCGGGCGAAGCAATTGAAGGGAAATAACGTAAAAAATGAGTGATAATGATTAAAAAATACGAATTATGGGAAATTGGGTATATTCAAACTTGAAGATAGCCAATAGCTATCTTTAAAGGGTCTGTTGTGGCAACATATTTGAAAAACCTTATGGCATTATATATCATGCAGGAGAAAGCTAATGGAATTAAGATTCTAAAAAATATATTGCATTGAAATTGGCAACCAGTTCGTTAAGGAATATTAGGCGAATAACGAAAAAGAAAATGAAATATCATAACAATTTTGGTCAACCTGTCACCCACACACCCCAGCCCCGTGTTCGCCAACAGTTTTTAGAAAATAAATATTAATTGGTGGTTAATAATTATGACACTTTTCAATTTTTTTCAAGAGTCTTTAAAAAAAATTTGGAACGATCGTAAATGTGATCAGTTTTCATACATTTAAGGCGTATGTAGAGTAGTGAATGTAAAATATTACACACATTAATATTCTACTTCGAAATTAGTTAAATTTGGCCGGCCTTTCCTGTTAGTTTACTAAATGGTACAGGATATTCTTATTTTTGCCTTCTTAAATTTAGCACGTTATAGCACGAACCAACCTCGTCGTTCCCAAAGGCGGCCCCATCATAATTTCCTGTCAGGGCATTTTGCATCCACGGCAAAAATGGTCATGGGATCGACTGGTCACATGCAACCCATGGGTGTTTTCATATGATAATTTATGTAAAACAAGACGCCTGCTCAGGCGTTCACACTGGCCTCGCGGTTGGTCAAATACCATCGCAACATTCTAAAAAATCATTTGAAACATGTAGATGTTATTCACTTCTTGACGGTCATCACTTCATGATCACAAACATTCAGAGGACGCCACATTAAAAATCGATACAAAACCAACAGAGTTCAGCGATATTATATCGAAAACACAGAAAAATTCAAGCGCATGTGCAATGAAATATAATAAAATACGTCCGAAAAAGACAGCATTTTCAGCGAGGGCATTCTATGGCATTGGCTGCGGCCAGTGTAATAAATGTTGTTATATAGTTAATAGTGTCAAAGTACGATTCATTTTTCTGTTTGGCGATTGGTGGTCAAAACCTGCCAGTCCACAATTAATAAAAAATATGGAAATTTGTCGGTCTTTTCATCATACTTCAGTGTTTCATCGGCTAAAATTTACCATTTTGTTGTTTAGGGTATAGATCATTAGGAATTAATATAGTCAATCCCACATTTGGATAACCATAGGATAACTATATCAGCCAACCAGAGACGAATCTTATATATTAAAATAGAAAACATTTTCACAATACTCCAACTGCAAAATTTTTAATTAACCAAGGGGGGGGGGGGAATAGGTTTTCGGATCGTCGGATTTCACAGAAAAAATTGTTCGGATTTTGGATCTG